GGAGGGCCGGGAATGTTCCTAACTGCAGCTCTGTAGGGTTCCCAGAGCGAATATCCAAATTAGTGTGGTACGTAGAAGCATCAGAATGCCGCGTCCCTAAGCAAAATTGCAGCTGCAATGCAGACACCCCAATTCCTCCAGCCCCCTCGCGTTTGATTTTGAGGAAGGCCGGGCAAGGCACATTTAGCAGCATTCACTCCTCCCTTCTTCTGCCTATGCCACGCATCCCGAAAAGCACCTCCACCCACCCATTCCAGAACAAAGCACCTTGTGGCTGTGCTTCTTCACCGCAGTATGACATCGGGGGCAGGCAAGGAGGCTGCACTGATATCAAGAGCGAAGCCCCACTAACATCAACACCCAACCTACGGCGCGGCGACCGGTGGAGCCACTACAGGAGGACTATGGATATTATGCTGGGCCCCGAAACGAGATACACGCACAGGCCCTCGCCTTCCTGTCCACTCACCCACCCAGCCCGGCAACAACCGGACTCACAGCAGAATCCAAGCGGCACCGGCCTCATCTTCCTACCTTTCCAATCCCGCCCGTTACACTCCGCAGAAGCCTGTGCCATACATCTCCGATCTTCTCCCCCCTCCTCAATCCAAGCCCAACCGGCTCCAGACCCAGCGATTTCCCCTCCTCCCCGCAGGGGCAGCTCCCAGGCCACAGCCCGGCTTGGGAAAGGACGAGCACGAATGAAACCTCGAGGCTTTCGGCCGTTTCCTCTCACAGAACTAGCAAAGGAGGTGGTGTTTCCTCTCCCCAGACCCCGGCACAAAGGCCTCGATAACAGAAAGGTGGGCTGAAGAGGCCAAAATAGGGCGACCAACCCCTCTTTCCCTCACCTCCGACCTGTGCTGCCGCTGCTTCTGCCCCCTCAGGATCCTCTCAAGCACGGAGAAGCGGGGGGGGGGGGACACGAAGGACACACGGCGGCTGCGCGCGCGCTCACCTCGCTTTTCGCCCGCCCCAACGTCCGTTAAGAACCACGAAGCGCGCGAGCGCACTCTGCTCGAGTTCTATCCCACCCCTGCGCAGGCTCGGAGCAAGGGAGCCAGATGTGGGCGGGAGAAGAGGAGGAGGAGGAGCAGCTGCAGCAACAGAAGGGGGGGGTGAAAGCTGTATTCTTACGTAGCAGTAGAATCACCTCCTCCCTCTGAACCCACCGCCTTAAGGCGCATGCGCCCCTTTCTTTTCTAGTTTACCCGGGAAGCGCCGACTTCCAGTTTCGCGCATGCGTGGCTGACGTTATGATGGCAATCTCATTGATTCTTTGGGCGCTTGAGAGAAAAAGGTTCTGAGACCATGCTTACTGAGCCTTCCCCCGACCCGCCCCTTGCTGGCCGAATGTTGCAACTACAAGCATCTTTTTATAAAATGCTGTTATCCACACAGCCGTGACAAAAGCTTAGAGTTTCTCACGCACTGAAAGGTGCCATAGGCAATTATTCTCTAGGGCCTAAACGTCCTCGGTCTAGGCCTTGAATTGGCGAGTAGCGAAACAGCAAAAATCAATATCGGAAATACTGGCAAGGGAATTTTTTTGTGAGCCCCACCAAGGTTGTTGTAATAAAAGTCACAGTGGAGGAGCACAAGTAGCCTTCTTTTGACCTTAGTGAGCATGATGATTGCACATCTGCAAGGGCTGGAAGGTGTTCTAGATAAGAGTTGCTAACAGACCATGATTTTACAGGCCCTAGTGCAATCCTGTGCATATTTACTCAGAAGTAAGTCCCACAGAAGTCAGTGTTGCTTACTTTCAGGTAAGTAGCTTCAGATTTTCAGCACAAGCTGCTTATAACATTCCAGTTTAGTTATTTTCATGGTGTCCCAGTTGATTTGTCATCATTCTTAATTTTTATTTTCTAGTTTTATGTATCGTCATATTGCCATTTCTAGACAATGTACAAGAACAATGCACGTGTCACATGGCAGTTATGGTACCACTGGGAACTAGAAGCCAATGCTGCTTTTTAAATTCTGTGTGCAAATGCCCTGACTTCATGTTTCCATTTAGTATGTCCTAAGTATGCAGGGCATGAATGATCTGTTTATAATTTGTGCTAAAGATGGGAAATTAAAATATTGTATTCATCAGCTCCTAGCTATTAAAGAAAAGTCTCAGTGTGGTGTAGTACTTTAAGTGCTGGACTGGAACTCAGGAGACTTGCTTTCACATCCCCACCTGGCCATGAAGCTCACCAGGTGACTTTAGCCATTCACTGACTCTTGGCATAACCTACCTGACAGTGTTGTTGTAAGGTTAAATGGAAAGGAAATTCTCAGTTTCCTGATAACTAAATACAGTATATTGCAAGTGAACAACTAGACTTCGTGCAGTGGGATTGTGCTGCCCCTTCTAGTGCTGGCTCCAGGATTTGCCCAGGTGCTGCAGCAAATCACAGTTTTTGTCGCAGTTCATACATCTGAAAGGAGGTTAGTTATGAGACAGAAACAGCAAAGTTGAAAAGGAGGGTGGCTGGAGGACTGGCTACAAGGCCCTTGCCTATGTTTGGGGCTAGCTGGTACTTTGCACTGTTATCTTTCAGGTTGCACTCTGTAATATGGGAAAAAAGATACTGAACTACCTTTCATGCCATTAGGAGTAGTGGGGAGCAGGCTGAATACCCTAAACCTTATCTAAATCCTAAATGTAATGTGGTATTATTACCATAGTAAAATATAAATACTATGAGATGTAATGTAATTATGGGGAACTAGTGTCTTATAATTGCTAGAGTGTTGGACTGAGAATATCCAGGGTCAAGCCTCTGTTCAGCCATGAAGCTTGCTTTGGGCCAGTCACTGACTCAGCCAAACCTACCTTACAGGGTTGTTGTGAGGATAAAATAGAAAGATGTATCCTTGGGTTCCTGGGAAGGAAGGCCAAAATATAAATGCAACAATTTAAAAATGGTTGTCAATGAACCTTCCTTCCTCTTTTTTCTTTTTTTCCCCCTTGCAACTATAACCCTACAGCCACCACACCTACCTAGTTCAGTTAGGGACTATCAGCAAATAAGTGATGAAGGTCTGAAATCTCTGCCAATTTTCCTTTTACCTTGCCAGCAGGACTACCTAAGTATGTTGCTAGGTAAGGGACTATACTGTATTCCGAAGAGCTGATAGGCCAACCAGAGCTCATGTAAAGGTAAACACACCTAAGTGTGCTAGGATAGAGGCAAGGGCAGCTTGACAATGACATCAGTGGATGGAGTGTTTGCAGCCTTGAAATGCAGTGGAAACTAGCCTTGCTCTGCCTCTACTATTCTGATAGTTTTTAACTTTAAAAGTGGAGGGAAAGCAGCTGTATGTGGTGGAAAGTGCACCTAAGTTCACTGAACCTAATCATCTTAACCACACTCCACTCTTTCTAGAATCAGGCTGTTAGCAGTAAGCCTCCTGATGTTTCATGGAAACAAGCTGAATTGGCTCCAGGTGTGCTGAGGAAGCGATTCTGCTTCTTAAGAAAGAGGAGAGGTTTTTCTCATCTGTTTTTGCTGGGCTGTTTTCAAAGGCATCAGCAGCAGCATAGCATGAATTTTTGGTTTGGGGTCAAGTCAAAGGAGGGTGGAAATGACTTAGCTTACTAGAGCTTGTGTTTAAGGATTTCAAAAAGGTTTGAGGTGGGGGGTGGATACCTGGTTGATGAAAGGTATATGAAAGAGAGAACTTCAGGCAAGAGACTTTTGCAGTTGGTTGAGGCTCGCCCCTGGTTGAAAGGGTTTGTTGTACTGTTTGATCATCTTTTGGTTCTAGAAGAGGTGTGTGGCCTTCTGTTCCCTTTGAGTTGCTATGGTTCTCTTTTATCTCCTTCAGCTTTTTATACCTGTATACAATTACCTTAACTAGTAAGTCTAATAATACTGAATTATACATCTTGGGATATATCATGATAGCTTGTTCAATGGAGAGGTGAGGTTGAGATTTTTTTAAAGCATTTCAATAGTAAGCATGCTGTACTGCAATAACATGGAAATCAGTCACAAGAATTTCTTTTTGCCTTGGACTAAGAAAGGTGAAGAGTACCTTGACTAGTGAACGGAGAGGTGGCGCTCACTGAAGTGTTTTTAGGCTGTTTTAGGAAATAATTGTACTACTGAAGAGCTAGTCAACAAACTAGCTCTGCTACATACCCTGTATATTTAGTGTTATTCCTGATGAATGCAGTGGGACAACTCAGAAAGTAGACATGAAGAGGTTTGGGCTATAAGAGCTCATTCTTTGAATTAAAAAAAATCCATAGGTTATGCTATATGGTTGCTCTATCATATGGTGGGAAAATAGTGGTATCTCTGATATTTGAGATTTCCTACAAAAATGTGTAGTGTAACTTGACTAGGAAGGCTGGAATGGGGTATGTGACTAGTAGGCCATGGGAAAGAGCATTTGCTTCTGTGTTTCTAGGGCTTTGTGAATAAGAGCATCTGGAAGAAGATCCACAGTGTGTGTAGAAATTTACAAATTTAGTTATTGGGAACTTACCCCAAATAAATACCATGTGATCTGGCCTTCTCTGAATGTTGTAGAGATCAGCCTGGCCAAATTTGTTCTTGACCCAAGTGCAGAGATGGACAAATTCTGGAAGGGTGTGTCTATCTTTTAAGCCTTGAGAAAAGTCTCAAGGTTACAAAGAGGTGGGGAAGGGAAACACTGAAGCTATAACAACCTCTAAAAGCTTTCCAGTGACCAAATAGAAGTAGGCCTCCTCTATCATTTTTCTTATATCAGGGGTGGGTAGAAGGCCGTTCTTCTGTCTGCTCCTGATATTCTTGAGCTTTGGCTGTGCTGGGGAAAGCTTATGGTAGCTGATGTCCAAAGTATCTGGATATCTAACTTCTGCCAACCCTGATCTATATGAATACATGCCTTCATGGGGATTCTGTGGTCTGCCTTATTTTTAGACAATTCAGGCAGTCAATAGCTTGGTGAAGGTATGTGTCCTCTTAAACTAGTGCCTGATACCTGTGGCTTATTTGTTTCTAGCCTAGAAAATGAATGCTTCCCCAGCTTCGGAAAGTGGACCCTATCCCACAAACCACAGACCCTTTTTTTACGCACACCCAACAGCACAGCAACCATTCCATAATCCATGGATCCTTGGCCCTATGTACAATCCATATGGTATCCCTACAGGAGGTAAGACAAAATACAGATAAGCTGAGGGAAATGTATGAAATGAGCTGCTGATGTGTTCTCTAGCATTGGTCTTGCTGTTCAATTTCAGGATGGGATTTCATGTGCAATGTTAGTATTTTCTAACTGGTTATGAGTGCTTTGATTTCAGCACTTGTATAATGGCATTGCCAGATTAAAAGCATTTCCCTCCTAGAATGGATCTTTTTACTTAATAAATATACGGTAGCTGAATGTAAATTGCTGATGCTTTCCATGGCATGGTGATAGTAGCACGAAGTGCTTCATCTGCAGAACTTCCATGTTCTGTATTATCAAGAGGAAATGACCTATTAACCTACCTTTTAAAATGTGCGCTCACTGAACTTAAACGGATCTTATTTGAAGAATGCATAATTATGTCATCTTCAGTGTGATTAGTGGACAACTAGCTTTGCATGGTTATCAGGGAGAGAGCCACTATTAGCAACGCTAGGCTTCCTCTCAGCTAACATGCTTCCTGTGTGATAGAAATCCATAAATCCTCTCTAAACTTCAAAATGGTTGAGTCTCATTCCAAATGTGTCATTGCACTGAGCTTTTGAATATGGCCCTCCATTTTTTTCACATGGTAAAGTCAGGAGCGCCTATAGCAGAGGGAGGCAGTAACGCTGGGCAGCAGGCATCGAAGAGTATCCATGTATGTGAAGCTCTTGTTTCTTTTAGGGGGATGGGGGTGAGGGGAAGATTCTATTTAGTTTTTCCACCACAGGTGTGAAAGTGAGTTAGGCAGGCCTGCACTTAGTATACCCCAACCCTAGCTCTGTAGCTGGTGGAAAAGATGAATCTGTTTTTACTTGTTCATTTCTTACTTGGACCCCATAGTCTCACCATTGTTCTAGCACAGGATCTTCTTGATGCTTGAAGAGCAACTTGAGTTCTAGTGGGTTTTATTTCACAGGGGTATATATACAAATCAATGTGGGGTTTCCTTACTTTGGTTATTGAGCTTTTCTATGCACAGTGTGTAACCCTGATCCCAGTCCCACCCTTTCTTTGTGGCCAAGTACTCAGTGAAGAGATACTGTAAGTGCTGTACTCCGGATTGTCTTACAGTTTCTCCTACTGTGTTTTCTGTATACAGCTGGGATTGAAGTTCCAATACTTTGGTTCTTGAGGGAATGCCAAATGCTATGTCAACAGTAGATGCAAACATCTAACATCCTTAGGGGTGTTATGGAAAGCGTAGACAATTTGTGGCCCTTTAGATGCTTTTGCTTATAGCTTCAATGATCTCTCCCTATTGGTAATGTTGGCTAAGGCTGATGGAGTTGTAGACCAAAGCATCAGATGTGCCAGGAATTGTCTATCCTAGCATTAAAAAATGCCCCAGATTAGCTGTTTTTCTCTGATCAAGAGTAGATGACATATAACTACTTAAGGATCTGAGAAGCTATGGGCTTCTCCGCTATGAACTAATGTATGTTAGAAATTTGTTCTCGTAATATTCTGTTGCAGGAGAAATGTCTATTTCTGTTCTTCTTAGGTTTAAGAAGTGGCAATCCATATTTCCCCTTTTATTCACTTCCTCTCCACGAATACCCTGGATATCTTGTTCAACAGCATCCTATGCATATGAGAGTTAACAGAAGACCTTATTTTAATGGTCATCCATCCTCACCCATGTTTTATCAAGCCACACGGTTCAGGCACTATAGCCCCAGCAAGCGAACAGAGACCAAAGAAACGCAGACTGACCCTAGACAGCCTGAAAGTAAACCAAAAAAATATCAGGATCATGGTTTAGAAACGAAAGGCTGTGTTGCTGGAAATATGGGCTGCGTCCCATCTGGCACTTGTAAAGGAACTGAAAGCTCTTTGGAAAAGCCAGAGAGGGGTGTATCTTCTGCTGTTTCAGAGAGGGACTTTGCCAAGAATGCTTCTAGTGCTGTACAGTTCCGCAGCCTCCCCCCATCTGGCTATGCCTTTGAGAAAGAAGAAGTAAGAATAGAGTATGCTAATGGGGGTACACCTGCCATTCAGCTCTGGAAGTCCTTCAAAGAAACAATCCCTCTATACGATGTGTCAAAAAAGACAGTCCCAGAGAACCTAATGCAGAGAGATATGTTTGCTTTGAGCTCCTGTGAAGGAGTTGTATATGGGCCTGGTGAACAAGGAGAGCTGGTGCCAAGTATTCCTTATTCAGAAGAGCAAGAAGCTCTTGAGGACATGCAGGAGAAGGAGCCTCAAAGTAAAGCAAAGCTGGATTCAGAGAAACAGGGAGGGCCAAGCTACAGAGCAAAGTCTCCTCTAGACGAAGCCAGATCAGTGCACCTGGCTGAACAAACTAGACCTGACCAGCCAGGGGCAAAGCAAAATGCCCTGTTATCCAAAAGACCTTTTGGCTCAAAGAGGTCCAGTGGTTCAAAAGCTCCTCAAGATGTGTCCAACCTTGTTCGGCAAAGGGAATTATTTCCATCTGGCATGGAGATAATGAATGATTCATATTTCTCCCAGACATTGAATGAAAACCTTGATATGACCACTGAAAATTGGACAGCTTCAGAAAAAAGCCTGTGGTGTGATGAGTCTGAGAAATACATACCTTCTGATAGCTGGCTGGCTTGTTTGGATAACGTTGATACTAACTTCAACTACAATGTTTATCTGTCTCAAAGAAAGCGTCCAAGTGTACTAAGTCTTACCTCTGATGAGGAGCCTTCATCCACAGAAGATGTCTCAACTGATGATACACCAGTGTCTTATTTAGCCCCTGACTATGTGCTTCCAAAGGGTGTGTGTACCTTAAAGAAAAGCAATGAAGCAATGAGCAGAGAGAAAATAAAAAGTGGAGGTTCCCTCAATGAAGATGAAGTGGTGGGGAGTGAGCAGGATAAAACTGGCTACATCCGGAATTTAAAGAGCCACTCAAGAGTAAAGGTTAAAGAGGTTTTCACTCGAAGTAGAAAACGGGGCATTCTCCCTAGGTCTTCCAGTAGCAAGCAGCTTTACTCTCTCAAGAAAAAAGCAACAAAGAGTTTGTCTCCATCAGAAGCTGATGAGTCTGAAGAATACTGGGTGCAGGAACCAGAGGAGGAGGAGGAGGAAGAAGAAGAAGATGATGATGATAATGAAGAAAAGGACTACTTGATTCAAGAAGTGACTCCATGTGGAAACTTGAACCCTAGCAAAAGTTTCCCCTTCCAGCAAACTGGCCAGCCAGTGTTTTGGAGAATACCTAAAAATGCTGTATCAGGACATTTCATTAATTGGCCTGTACAAGAGAAAAAGAAAATGTATGGACTAGGTACTAAACTGAAGAAGGAGCAGGAAGAAGAGGAGGATCTCTTTGATGACTACAACTTCTCATTGAAGCGGCCTATAGCCCAACAGCTAGAAATACTTGAGCACCGAAGAAATTCACCAAAGCTTTCTGGTAAGTAAAGGTGGAGAAAACTTCTAAAGCAGCTTTCAATTTAGCACACACAGTGGGCCTTGCTAGTTCAAGTTATGAGAAGGGAGTAAAGGCATTTAGGGTACCCTTTTACCAAATGGGAAAGAGTGAGAACTATTTTTTGAATGAATGTCCATCAGCTTGAATTTTACACTAATGGGCCCTGTCCCTCTTTGTGGGGTGGATCTTGTGTAACTACTCACATAAAAGGCTCACTAAAATCCAGAATGGTACTACACTGAACATATTCTCAAAATCTAATTTGAAAGGGACTCATTTGGTGACTTGCAGTTGGAAGTAGCAAATGTTATAGTCTCAACAAGACTGCAGTTAAATGAGATTGGAGAGGGAATGGTTGAGTGGAGATGGATAGCTCAGATGACCCAGAATACAAGAAAACTGCATTCTAGCCACAAAGTTCAATTCAGCCAGGATTTCTAGGTCAAGCAATCCTGTGAATGACTCTTTGTGGTTGTTTAGGCTGTTGGTATAACAAACATCCAGTACAGATTGGGATTCTCCTTCCTTTATGTCTTGGCCAGGAAGGTTACAAGAGGAAGGGAGAAGATTTGCAGCTGATGAATACTGGGCAAAAAGTGGTGCCAGACCCAAGTTTGCTACCCTGATACATGGTGGCCTCTCGCCCACAATGAAAAGCAGAGAAACAGGTAGAGTTTTATCCATTTACAAAATTAATTTATTCAAAAACTAACATGTATTGCATTTTGGTTTTGTTCTCCTTGCTGCTCTTCAAGGGAGGGATAACATTGGCAAAGCAATGGCTTACATGTACTTAGAGCAGGGCCTGTTAAGGTGATTTCTTATGCTATGTAGTAGCAAACCTGGATTTGGCTGCTTGTATGATGCATATGTGAATGTGTGGGACAGACATCCATGCTTTATTTTGGGCAAACCTTTTGTACGTCATGAGACCAACCTGCATAAAACTTCTTTTAGGGCCACTCCTGCAGATGACTAGCTGCACACTAGTTTGCTAACAAGCTAGCCCAATGCGTAGTACAGTAGGGAATCTGAATGGGAGAAGGTTCTTTCTTTAACCTTAGCTATTCGTTCTATCTATGTTAAACTGGTTTGATAAAACTGGATTTCCTAAATGCAAAAATATTCTTTGTCACTTCAGACAATTTGCATGTAGACTCACCAAAGAAGAAAGGAGCACATAAGCCTCCACATAAACGTAGAGATACCAGACATGATGCAGAAACTGAAGAATGGGAGAAGCCTAGAACGACCCGTCGCAAGGGTAAGTGTATTTATTTAGTGAATTTTCTAGCAGTAGCAAGATAGTGTCTGGCTTCTGAATCTGTGCTCTAAACCATGCTGTATGAAGACTACTGCTGAGCCTCCGGTGTGGATCAGTGTAAGTCCCACAATCTCCAGCTTGCTGATATCTAAGAATAGACAGCAGAACAGGTTCCCAGAGGAAATGACTGCTCAGGAGAACAAGGAAGAAGATAGAAAGATGCTGTTGTGAGTTTGTGTACAGGATGTTTCTGGGGTGATTAAGGGATGGGGAAACTTTGGGTCTAAGGGCCAACTGTGGCTGTACTGGAGTCCCAGTTTGGGCCTCTGGACTTTCCCAGATGGTCCAACCCACTTCCCCTAAGCACTGATGACACGGTCGCTTCCTGGTGTTTGTGCATTTCCCCCCTTTCTTGAAGGTCTGAAGTAAGGCTTCATACTGGCAGTAAATGCTTTAAAGTACACCACGCTGCTGTTTTTTGGCTCTGCCTGCCCCTGGAAAGCATCTCCAGGACAGTGGTTGTGAACCTATGGCATGCCTGCCGCAGTGGGCACGCAGAGCCCTGTGTCGGCACGTGAGCCAAGTTGCCCCGGCATCGCCCCAGCAGCCGAGCATTGGATAACAGCGCACATAGGGGCCATGTGCATGCTCAGAAAGGAGTAGCAGTGCCAGATGATGACATCACAAGCCACGACTCATCCGAGCTTTCACATGGCCGGTCAGTGCACTGCCAATACTGGCTGTGAATTGTTTTTTTCTAAACTAAAACCTCAGTATTCAGGTTTTATTGGAGTGTTGGCACTTTGTGATAAATAAGTGGGTTTTGGGTTGCAGTTTGGGCACTCGGTCTCTCAAAGGTTTGCCATCACTGCCCTAGGATCTCCAAAACTTAATTTGGCCCTCTGACTAAAGAGTTCCCTATCCCTGAACCAAGGGTTTAACTTTGAAGGAACACAAACCCTAGGAAACATAGAAGTGGGCAATGGGTGCATGAATCTAATCTATAATGCTCCTGACCTATCCAAGATTAAATCAAGAGCCCTGGATTATAACTTCTGCCTGAATAGCCAGTGATAAAGTAACCAATCAGAAAGTTTTCAAGTTAATACAGTTTAAACTACTTGGATATTGAGAAGGCCAAAGTTGGTCCTGCTGAGCAAAGGTGGATTGTATAGATCACAGGAGAGACAAGCTACCCAATTCTAGGTGCCGGCTGAGATGGCCCTGTGTGCTCCTGCTTGCAAGTTACTTGTTGGGTTTTGATTAATTTAGTTGAGTATCTGCCCTTTCTTCTGTGTATTAACCCTCTTTGCTGGGCCCTGGCCTCATGTTTGCTCTCATGTTTCCTTAATGTGGGCTCTTACCCTACATCTAGTGGTGGTATGAAGGTTATGGCTGCCAGCTAGGACAGTGCATGTGGATTGCTGGTTATCTGGACTGGGATGCTGGATATCTTTGGATTCTTGGTGTTCGTATACTCAAACTGGCTGTCTGGTTTGGCTCTGCACTGCTGCCCTGCTACAACTTAAGGCCACCCCATATGTTCAGAAATAGCACGTGGCACAGTCTTCCTGAACAACTGAAAAGGATACAAGTGGGGCCCATATATCTGGATATTCCATGGTGGGGGAAAAAAGTGAGGAAAATCCTAGGATGATATTCTTCCTGATATTCTAGCTCTCCATAGGGAGGGAGAAGAAGTTCAGATGCTGCTCCACTGTATAAACTTTTCCTGACGAATTTGTATAACCTTACAGCAGAAGTTCTGTTCCACATCTGTTTAGCTTGAGGTATGCCTTGATAGTAAACAGGATTGTAGTGTCAGAGAAAGCAGCTCAGCTCTTTAGAAGAGATTGTAAGGACTGCTGCAAGTTGGCTGCCAGTTTCCTCAAATGGGTGTTGCATTCTCAACAGCCCTGCATAAATGGCCCATTCTTACAGTTCAAATGTTTTACAACTGACCCACAAATAGCAACTTTAGGGTTGAGCATCCTCAAGCCTTGGGGCAAATCCATCATTCTGGGGGTTCCAGTCTTTTCTCTGAGGTTCCCCAGATGCACTCATCCCTTTCCCTCGGCCACCAATTGGCATTTCTCTATCTTTTGAACACTCTTCCTCCATTCTGAAAGGTTAAAATTCCTCTCCTAAGGTAGTTAATGGTAGTAAAAGCTTTAAGTTACATAGACCTGACAACAGGGCCTTCTCAGTGGTTCAACCTTATCTTTGGAATTGGATCCCCAGAGTGGTTCTCCTGGCACCCTCATTACTATTTTTCTGGTGCCAGGTGAAAATAGTTTTATTTTCCAGGCATTTCAATAGTTGATTGATCGAATTATAATAAATTAAGTTGGTTTTATGGAAATTTTTTAGCAAGTTTTATTGCACTATCCTGACTCAGAGTAACTTTTATGGTACTGTGTCACAGTTGTAGTTGTATTATTTTAATAGATTTTAGAATGTTAAGTATTTGTATAATTTATCTAACTTGTTGTTGTACACTGCCCAGGGAGTTCTGTATAATACTAGTGGGTGCTGTTTATACATTTGATAAGTAAATAGACAGGGAGGGGTGGTGCTATATTTTGGCTTCAGTTTTGCCTTCTGCCACTGGAATGTGGCCCAAGAGCTTCTCTGGAATTTGGCCTTCAGCCCAAAGAGGTTTGCCACCCCTGCTTTTAGCAGGTCAGTATCCGATACGGTGCTTCTGTTCTTTTGTTTATATGCTCTTTTTAACTTTGTTAACTGCCCAGAGAGCCTTTTGGTTATTGGGCAATATAAAAATGAAATGAATACCTGTCAAAATATGATTAGATAAATACCAAAATCTGAGAGTCAGTTGCTAGTGGGCAAATTTATAGTCTTTTTGGAAAACAAAGTCTAACCTTCTACAATATTTTTGTACAGGGCGTGAAACAAAGCGATCTCTCTATAAAAGAAGATAATCGGAAATGGGAAAGTACAAACATTTGCCAGTATCATTCAGATGAATCATAAACATGTTGGGGGTTGGGGGGGAACAGGGTAAGTAGCTGAGCAGATTAAAAGTACACTAAAGATTCTGAGTACACATTGAAGAATATAAAATGTGAACTGGAACTGGACACCAAAATGAGGACACTTGGTATTGTAAATAACACAATCAAAATGTAAAAACAAATAAAAGTTAAAATTGCACCAGTGCGATGTCTTGTGAATAGTCTGTGATACTGCAGATATGAGTACTTTAAGCAATGTGAGAAACTTGAAATAAGGAATGCATCTGTCACAAGAAACTAAATTAAAATGTAGGATTGAGAAGTTTGAGGAAAGCACTCCATGCTTCCATCAGCAGGGAGATATCCAGCATCAGCAGAATAATATGAGTCTTGCTACAAATTTAAGGTCAGAAATCTAGAAGTTTAAGAGGAACAAGAACTGGGAGATTAGACCATGTAGACTGCATACATGTTCATGGTGACATGTGGTTTGAAAAAAATTTTGATGCTGTTTGGTCCAGAGATGCTAGCTAGCACTGTTAGTGGAAGGTAGTACCCTATTAACTGACCAGCTCAGCAGCACAATTTGCTCTTTGGATGGGCAGATTGATTAAAAAAAAATCTTAGTGTCCCTGCCTGGTTCTACAAAGCAGTAACTGCCAAAGGCACAGACATGCTTACAGCCTCCCAGAACAGCCCATTTTGACTGGTGGGAGAGGGGTAAAAGTGTATATGAAGCCCAGAGGATTTTGAAGGGTTTTATTGCTGCAATTTAAATAGCTGTATGGACTGCTTCAACTGAGTAAAAACTTCAAGCAGCTGCTGCTGCACCATTACTTCCCCTCTAGGGCTGTATAAAGTTGTGGCCCAAAACTCTTGCTCCCTTTTATCCCTTTGCATGTCTGTCAAATTCAACACAGATGGATGAACAATTCTTTTATTGAACAAACCAGCTGCACCCTGTTAACTCTTCTGTAGCTCTTTTAAAGTCTTTTTTAAACAACAGAAAAGAATCCAAACTTGCCGCCTGTCAGCACTGCATAACAATTCAGTCATTTATAACAACTGCACTCCATAACCCAAAGTAACACACCTTACAGAGAATACTGTTTACTTTCTCAACCACTTTTCTAGACCTGCTTCCAAGATGGATTTCAATACTAGTGGGTTCAATAGGGCAACAGAAATATTTTAAGTGCTTTCAAAAATGGGAAAAAAAAAGGATTCACAGATTACCAAGCTGAAATCAATGTTTCTCTTTCTGGCATAATTCATATTGTATGCCTTAGTCGTGATAAAGCAAACCACTTTGAAAGCAGATACGGATTTACATCATGTTGCCATATTAAAAGATAAGGCCTGTCATGGCTACACAAAGCATTCAGGTATGGAATTACTGAAAGAACCATCTATCAGTAATTCACATGACATGGAGAGATTCAAGTGAGACCTGCACATCTTATGATGCAACAAGCTGAACACAAGCCTGATATTCTTGCCTGGCAGCTCCTTCAGTTACGCTTCCCAGCAGAGAGTACAAATGGGAGGATTTTTTGAGCTTCTTGCAGTCTGCCATATATTGCTAGTGTCCTATGTTTGGCCTGCAGAGTCAAAGGTCATGCAGATTGGCTTTATATTAAAGAACTCCTGTATCATGAAAGTTCTACAGGAGCCATAAAGTGTTTTCTTGAGGATAGCAGACACACCGCTGTTTCTGTGAGAATATGATCTGTTTTGAATCACACTGTTCTGTACAAATCCACTTTTCAAAACAAAAGTTAAGCTACAGGTAGTTACAGTGAAATCTGCACCAAGTCTCTTGGTTGTTCTCAGTTTTTCTACTGTTTGCCTCAGTCTGGCTGACCAGCACTGTTATTTGTTAAGTTTCACCAATGGATGAGCCTCGGCCATCTAGAGCACTGCAGACACTTTGTTTGTGTGAACCTAAAGGACTACTGTATATTCTCCTAGGCTGTGACCAAGAGGTATTTCTGAACACCTTTGCAGTTACTTTGCAAGCTGCCCTACTGGTGACCTTCCCCTTTCCACAAACCCCAAGGTTAAAAAAGAAGCCGCAAGAAATGGTACTCGCATTGCTAAAATGAAAAGGGAACTTGCATGCATATCCTACAGGCACTTTCTCTTAGTGCCAGCTTTTGCACCAAACAACCAAAGGGTTGGATTGGGCTTTGTTTTGGTTTTTCACACTTAAAGTATAAAAAAGCAATGTAGAGATAGGATGGGAAGGTTTCCTGATGAGGCAACTCACAAAATAATGTCAACAAAGCACATGAACAGTCCATGGATTGTGCTCTGAAACAATTCCAAATGCTTTGGGAAAGATTCTTTGAATGCTTCGCAACACAACACTGAGGCAGCATCTTCTCAATCTGAGTCGGATGACTTTGTTTTAGAAGATTTGTGCTTTCTCTTTTTCTTCTTCTTCTTTTCTTTCTTCTTTCTCTTTTTCTTGTGTTTTTCCGAAGTACTGGAACTGTCTTCCTCTGAAGTCGAGTCCTCCAGCAGCTGCTTCAGCTGTCGTATCCTAAATAAATACATAAATTGCCAAGGCAAGGTGGAATTCTCCTTTTGGCTGAGGTGGGCAAGCTGCTTGTTTCAGTTTAACTTGGCTATCAGACTTGAAACGAAATGTGACAACTACATTATGGCATGGAATGGTGGAGTTGTTTTCTCTCAAAATGCCACTGCCTTTTGAAACTATCACTTGTAGGGATCAATTACTGGAAGATGTTGCAATGAGCACTTAAGTGCAAACTGTGGGAAGGGATGGATAGCTATAGAGCACAGTGAACTTCTCACCACCTCTTTGAGATAAGGCTTTTTTGCTAGAGTCAACCAGCACAGCTGGGCTGTCTGCCATCCTCTGTCCCTGCTCTGCCAGGAAGAGCGACTAGCTTGTGTACAGTGGCAGCCTCTGAAACAGAGGAAGAGAGGAATTGTATCCTTTCTCTGGAAAGGGCTGCTGTTTAGTCCTTCGGTTGTAAACTGCCCAGAAAACTCCTGCTAATGGGCTTTACAGAAATTACATAATTATAATAATAAAGAATACTTGGGCTTTCTGCTGGGAATGTAAGCATGCAAGATGTCCAAGTATCTAGTGCCCTGGAACAACATCTGACACATCAGGAAACCCTGTGGCTAAAGGGACATTTTGCTTCTTCCTACGTAGTCAGTAAACTGTGCACCTTCTTTAACATAGTTGGTTTTGTTCCTAAGTATCCTCGAACTGAAAATGAGGTGCTACAGTTGGAGCTGGATCGTGGTGTTAAATCACATTGTCATTATGTGGAAGGTGAGAAACATGGAATGCGCTCTCCAGAGAGGTTCGCCTGGCGCCAACTTGATACTCTTTTTGGCGCCAGGTAAAGACCTTTTTATTCAGCCATCTTTTTAATAATTATGGTTTTTAAATGTTTTAAGACCTGACCACAGTTGCAGTCTCTTTTCTTTTTTCTTCCTTCCTTCCTTTTCTTTAGTTTTATGAAAGTGTTTGTTTTATTCCATTATTATATTCTATTTTAATCACTGTAAGCCGTCCTGAGCTGTTCATCGGAAAGGACAGGATAAAAATGTTTTAAATAAATAAATAAATTTAAAAAGCACATCATGGACATCACATCATGGTGAACTGTGTTTCAAGACCTTCCCTAGTTCAAATAACCTCCTGCTGCCTCTCAGCCTGAACCGCCCCCTAATCTGGGGATAAAACTCATAGCCTCCCTTTTTAAGTAAATAAAAAAATCATTGTTAAGGATGAGGATCGGATCCAGAGTTGACCTTCTGCAAAAGAAAGGATTTCTCTGCCTTATTTTGGGGGAATTGCACTCCCAACCACATCTCCCCATTCAGCTGGGTCTCCAGACTCCCTTTGCAGCATTTTCTGGAGGCTGGAGGGGCTGCAGTGGGAAGGAGGTGGCAAGGTAATCCTCTTATGCCAGTGCAGTTGATTCAGATTAAATCTGGATTCATCCCCATACATGAAGTGCTTTGAACAGTAAGTGCTATTTTTGCTGTTATTAATGGTTATGACTAAGAATGGATGATAATGGACCAGGTTTCAAACAGAACCAGACTTACCGCATTTCCTTCTCATGGCGCTTGTTTTCCCTTATAATATCATACATGGGGTCTTCATGTGCCTTGAAAACATGAACAACAGGGCAGATTCTTACATCCTTTTCATTTTAAACAATCCCTGCCATCAAAGAGTACATTTCCCAGGGACACAAGCAAAGATCTTGTCATCCTATCTTACTACTACTGCATTGCATTCGTACCCCATCTTTCTTCCTCTTCCAAGAAACCCAAGGTGGCTTAGAAGGAGTTTTGTCTCTCCATTTTATCCTCACAACCACCACCCTGTGAGGTAGGCTTGGCTGAGAATATGTGATTAGCCCACAGTAACCCAGTTGAGCTTCATGGACTAGAACCTGGAGCTCCCAGATTCCCAGTCCAATATGCCCACCACTACACCACACTGACTGTGAACACTAATGATACATAAATGTTAGTGATGGGTTTAAACCCCATAAAAATTGTTCTCCTTTTATTGATGGAGCCAGAATCAAAGATCAGCCACATGTAGGCTGGCAGGGAAGCAACTGAACATGTGCAGAATTTTCAGATGTTAGTTTTTCACAAGAATCTAAGCCCCTGTGCTTGAAATAAATGAACCCTAAAGCATAACACTGATTGGGGCGTTATGTGGTCACTCAAATTCATAATGCTTACCTGCATTTGTCAGTTTTTAGAAAGATAAATGCATTATGACAATAGATTAGCACATAGCTGATGTTTAGTTGGCCAGAATCACTTACCACAGAATGTCTATTGCTGATGCTTACATGAGCTCAAAATGCCTAATTAGCAGGTGTTTATTACTAAGTTACACAAGGTTTAACTTATTACCTACCTGGTCACCCTTGATGAGCATGAATTGCCCTTGTCAATGAGGTATGGAAGATGTTCAAAAATTGGTTTTCTTCCATTTTAGGCTGCAGGTAACTAATATAAATATGGGCAATTGTGGTTTGAACTGGACAGACTGAGGGTATACTGGGGCAGTCCTGAGGATGGGGGCTATCTGCTGAGGGAAAACGAGGGTGGGGAAACAATTGCCCAACCCACCAGCAGATTCTCCCCTGTATGTGCCTCTACTCAGGTCCACAACAGCAGTGGCTGGATGTTACCAGGTAGCCTTGTACCATGTACTTTTGCCTTCAGGTTGAAGAAGTAAAAACATCAGATGGAATAGTTTAGTAGAATTTCTAGAACAATCCTTCAGAATTAATGCTGCAATATTTTACTTACTACTCTGAACTGTTCCAATTTCTGATTGCCTTTAATGAAGAATGGACATTCTTTATCCCCTGTTCGGTGTCCATAGCGTTTACATCTCCAGCCTGAAAAAGAAAATAAGACAAAGTCCTCTTTAGAACTTTGAAGTACAGTTTTACACCAGAAAAGAAAGGGAAAAAGTTGGTTATCTTATTTTAAAACAGCACTGTACTTTAAATATGAGGAACAGAGCTATTTGTTGTTTGTCTGAGGGGACCAAAGACCTTCCTACTTTCACCCCTCTGAGAGAAGGAAGGCCAAACCTGGGGACAGGCAGGACAAGACCTCCAGTTCCTTCCTTAGCTCTTAGACCAGGGTGGAAAAAGTGTGTCCCGCCAGATGTTGGACTGCAACTCCCACCATTTCTTACCATGTTGGATGGGGCTGATGGGAGTTGGGAGTCCAAGGCTATCTGGACTCAGGTCCCCATTCCTATGTTAAACCATCAGGAGAAGCAGAATGACTATACATTTCTGTGCCTGCTTACTCAGATGTAAATCCCACTGGGATCAGTGGAACTGACTCCCAAGTAAGTAGGTATACATAGGACTGCAGCCTCAGAGTGCAATTCTTAACATGCCTACTCAGAGGTAAGTCCCACTGAGTTCAGTTGGGCTTGTTCCCAGCTAAGTAGATACAGATGTGCAAACTAAATCATACTAACATAGAGAACCTCATTTAATGTGATTCATTTGTACAGGTGACAGAATTTAGCCTTCCCGGCCCAAAATGTTGACTTGGCACATGATAGGAGGTGAGAAGAACATGGCAGCCAGGATCTTCTCTCAAACCTGCTGGGTTGGGAAGAGTGTAAGGAACATTCCCATGCAAGTTTAGACAAAAAGCATTCCTAAGACTTGCAGCATGCTGGAAGCTGTAGGCCTTTTATCTATTTAAATGTGCATAGCACTGCACCTTAAAGAAACATAAGGTGCAATCCTATGCATGATTAGACAGAAGTAAGTCCTATGACTCCTAGCATTTCCCTGCAAGCTGTATTAAGAGTGCACAGCGTTCACCTTCATTCATTCACTTGCTTTAGAAAATCCAGGGCCCCCAAAGGGGTTTATATAATAAGAAACAAATAAAACACACACGGATAACATTAAAACCAAGGTGTTAGACTAAAAAGGAGCAAGAGTGAAAACTTCCAATCACACATTAAAAGGCAAAAGTAATGAAAATGTTCTTGCTGCCCACCGAGTGCCATCAGAAATGGGGCCTCTCACCTCCATTGGCAGGGAATATCAGAATTGAGATGCTGCCACCAAAAAGACCCTGTTCACATTTTTACCAGCTCAATCTCTTTTGGTGGTGGAACATATAACAGACACCTAAACATTCACCTCACTTACACTGCATCACCTTGACCTCTTTTCCTAATGGCATCCAGAGCCCTTTCGTTGGAGCATGTGCTAAGAATTCTCGTGCATTTTCATTGCCAGGTACATCAGGAATGCAGTCCTCTGGTTTAGTTTCATCTTCCTGCGTAAGGAAAAATAAGTGGTAGGCAAGATACTACTCTCTGGAAGAAACTTAGTGGATGCATATCAGCTAAAACTCTGACCTAGAGGCAAATGTTAACCATGCGCTAGCCTCAAATACACTCACTTCAGGGGACCTGTAGTCACACAGGGGACTTGTTTATAGTAGAAGTACCTTTAAAACATTATTTTAACAAGAAAATGTCAAACATACCTTAATTAGCCCCGGAGGAAGCTTCTCATAGCTGAAAAATACATCAAATATATAGCTTTGGTAACTTTTTTTAGTTTTAAGCAAGGCAGAATATTAAGTTGACATAAAATGGGAAACTCCCACTCACAAAAGTGTACCACTCAGATAATTTCATTCTCTCCCACCCCCACACAGCAAGCATATTGAGAAAATGATCCTGTTAATATGGCTTTTGAATGAGCCAAAGAAGGTGCTTTCTGGCAAGTCACAACCTAAACTTGATTTGGGCTGAAAATGATGGCTTTAACATACTATTTCCCAGAGATGCTGTATTTGATGGAAAATGTAAAGTTTCTCTTCTTAAAATGGCTCACTAAGTGACTCTGGGCCAGTCACAGACTCTCAGCCCAATCTACCTTACGGGGTTGTTATTGTGAGAATAAGATTGAGAGGAGGAGGAGAATTACATAAGCTACCCTGAGTTCCAAGAAAGGAAAAAAGGTGGGGTATAAATAATAATCTAATTTTAACTTGGATTCCTGCACTGAGCAGGGGTTGGACCCAATGGCCCTCTGGCCCCTTCCAATTCTACTATTCTATGATTCTGTGACAATGAGTAAATAATATAATAAAAAGAGTACCATTGTTTATTTTCTCTACTTTGTCATTACAGATAAATGTCACAGGCTTTTCTTACTGCCAGGACTGCACTATCAACCTCAGAAGCTGCCCTATACCAGCTCAGACCATCAGCACCTCTCTTGCTGACCCTGACTGGCAGCACCTCTTCAGAATTTCAGGCACAAGTTTTTCCAGCCCTACCTGGAGATGCTGGGATTGAACCTGGGACCTTTGGCATGCAAAGCACGGGCTTTACCACTGTGCTACAACCACTCCCTAAACTTGGAAGGTTGCCTGTCCCTTAAAAAAACCCTCTGCCATCAATCTGACACACAGAGAGACCTGCACACACACATGTGTGCGTGTGGCAGTTTTTGGCAGGCTTGCCAAGGCTGTGCCATTTTGCAGATTGGAACATGAGGGTAATTAGCCAGGACAATCATTGGGGTCTACAGAGTCCTCAAGGATGGAGACGGCACTATAAAGAGCAAAGGCAGAGCCTGGCTATATCAGACCAAAGGCCTCTGTGGTCCAGCATTCTGTTTCCACAGTGCCCAACTCAGGTGTCTATGGGAAGCCCCCCAGCAGGACTCAAGTATAATTGAACCCCATGTTTGTTATCTCGCAGCTGCTGGTACAGAGAGGCCTTCTGCTTCTGACAATGGAGTTAGGATTTTGTCTAGTAGCCAGTGTCCATGAATTCTTCTAGTCCACTTCAAAAGCGGTCCAGGTTGGTGGGCATCACTACCTCTTCAAGGAGCAAACCCCAGTTTAACTACATGTTAATGTGAAGAAGTACTTCATGTTGGCAGTCCTGCATTTCCCTTGATAAGTAGCCATCCCTCATCACAAGCACTAAGACCGGGTGACAGAGCTACAACAAATGCAGGCATAGTTAACTTCCATTGATCACTTATGACAACAACAAAATAAGGACCAATCAGCTACAAAATCGTGACCTGCAAGTGCCATAGCAGGCTCCCACCAATGCTCAGAGTGCTTTCAGACATCCAGGAAGCCTTGACTTTTTTTTCCTGTATGCAAACTTCTAATACTTCTAATAATAGTTAATTAATCATCAGAATGGCGGCCAGTGACAAGTGGGGTCCCCCAGGCTCTGTTCTGGGGCTGATCCTGTTCAATCTTTTCATCAATGACATGGAAGAAGGGTTGAGCAGTCTGCTGATCAAATTCACAGATGATACTAAAACAGGGGCAGTGGCCACAATTGAGGAGCAGGTACTCCAGATCCAAAAGGATCTGGATAGACTATGGAAGTGGGCAGGAGACAACAGGATGGCATTCAACGTAGATAAGTGCAAAGTCTTGCACTTGGGGCATTGGAATGTGTATCTTAAGTACAGGTTAGAGGACAAGTGGCTGGAGAGCAACACTTATGAAACAGATCTTGGGATACTGTTTGACTGCAGGCTAAACATGAGTGTCAGCACATGACATAGTGGTCAAGAGGGCAAACACCACCCTTGGTTGCATAGCTAGAAGCATGGCTTCTAGATCGAGAGAGGTATTACTACCACTCTATTTGACTCTGGTACACCTGGAACTGGATTACTATGTTCAGTTCTGGGTCCCTCGTTACAGGAAGGATATAGCCAGGTTAGAGTCAGTGCAGCGTAGGGCCACAAGGATGGTGGCTGAGTTGCAGGGAAAGTCGTATGAGGCGAGACAGAGGGAACTGGGTTTTTTCAGCCTGGAAAGGAGGAGACTCCGAGGGGATCTGTTGGTGACATATAGGTATGTGTGGTTGTGTCACATGGAGGTGGGTAGAGACCTGTTCTCCCCTGCAGTGGAGGGTAGGACATGCTCCAACAAAGTTCAGGGAATCAAGGTTCAATCTGGATGCCAGGAAGTACTTCCTGACAGTTAGGACCCCGACAGTATGGAATGGGCTTCCACGGGAGGTGGTTGAGGCCCCATTGATGAGGGTGTTTAAGGATAGGCTAGACATGCACATGGTAGGCATGTCGTGAGTGGAGTCGACTAGAGTCAGACTTGATGGCCATTCTGACTCGCTCTGTTTCTATGTTACTAATAATAATATTTCTGTACTACATGGTACCAGCAATGAGCAGGCACAGTCACCATAGTGCATAGTGTAGAGTCATAGAGGCAGGCATGACTAAGGTGCATGGAGAGAGTGAATGGAGAGATTTTTTTCCCCCTCTTCCTATCATGCTGGAACCCAGGGTCACTTCAGGAAGCTGGATGATGAGACAAAAGGAGAAACTTTTTCACATGGCACATAACTAAATGATGGAATCTGCATTATTAAGACAGTGTTAATGAAGGCTCAGGCACATTGATAGAGAATAAGGCTCCCAATGGCTACTGATCATCATGGCTAGATATATGCTGCCTCCAGGCTCAAAGGGGACCTGATTTGCTAGGAAACACTGTTGAGAAGATGATAAAGCACTCCTGCCCTGCTCCCCAAAGGCATTTGCTTGGCCAGTGTGTGAACCTAATGCTGACCTAGATAGACCTTTGGTCTGATCCAGAAGGGTCTCTTCATGCTCCTTCACATATTCTAATGGTGGGATTTGTTCACATCCGTTCAGGGTCTGGCTATCATAGTTGCGAACAAGAAATATTTTTCTGGGGTATCATTGACTGTTTCCTAGGGAATTCCTTGTTATTTCTTATGCTCTGCAGCACGACGTGTCCTGCATGTGCCACTTGCCGATGACCCTGTGACAGCCTTTCTGTGACCCTGTGTTTGTGGCACAGGGTGGCTGATTAGGAAAGACGTGCTGGGAGAGGGGTGATGATGGATGGTCTCACCTTCATATCAGGGTTCTGGTTTTCCTTCTTGCCCCATAATCCTATGATGTCTAGCAATAAATTGCCTCACAAATGCATATCCCAGATCTGGGGTGGTGGTGGGGGAGCCAAAGCTGATGTGCTGGCAAATCATGCAGGATCCAGGTTAAAATCCTGACTAGGCAACAATAAAGCTGACAGGATAAGTCTGGGCCGGTCGTTTTCTCTCAGTCGGGCCTGCCTCGCAGGGCTGTTGTGAGGGTAACTAACCGGAAAAAATAGGTACCCCTCAGTTTCTCAGAGATAAAGAAAGGGAAGGCGAGTGCAGCCTTACAAGGACTCCAGATGCTGGATCTGTTGCAGCTGCTGCGCTTCGCGTTTCCTCCTCTTCTGCTCCTTCCGCTCGTGCCCTTTGCTGCCGCTGCTGGAGCTCCTGCCTGCCTGGGACTCGTCGTGGCTCTGGTGCCGCTTGCGGCTGCTGCTGCTCCGGGCCTCCTCGTGTCTGCTGCCCTGTGACATGGTGGGCAAGTGTGGGCTGCCCAAGGAAGGTGGTGCGCCCGGCCAGCCAGCAGGGATCAGCCCACCAAGCCGAGCTCAGCCCAGCCCGCGATGCCTCTCGCTGTCAACTTCCAGGCGGAGCTGAAGCAGGCACTTCCTCCGGGCGACCGGGCCTGCCTCCGTCGAGGCAGCGCCCCCTCTTTCGTTTCCTCCAACTCGGCTGGATGGAGAAGGGGTCTCCTTCCGGGAGCCGCAGGAAAAGCCCAAGAGGGGTGCAAATTCATCTGGACTAGAGAGGCGCTTCCAACTGAATTAGGGCGGGGTTGTGCTGTGAATCAGTTATTCCTTTGAGGCGAAGGTTTGTGCGCAAGCGGCGTGAATCTGCATGTTCAGTGGTGACTTTTTCTGGCAGGCTAAGCTTGGCATTTCGGGGGATGACCTTTGGAGCCGTGCTGAAACTCCGTAGCCATGCAAGTCCCATTGCAGAAATGCAGCGGGGGCGTTTTAGAGCCCGGACTGAATGATCTTACGGGATCCCTTTTTAGTGTATTACTTTCGTTTCGGAGCAGAGCGTGTGGCTCTCTCCACCCGCCGCTCCACTTGTACACTTGGACATTTCTGATAACGGGGTGGGGTGGGGTCTCTTGGCCAGTTCTGAGCAAAGAAAGAAAAAAAAGAAATGTGCTGAACATTTGCACGTTTGAATTTTAAACTTAGCTCAATCGAAGCATCATGATTAGAAGGAAATGGTTTTCTTTTGCTACTGTGATGCTAAACACATTTCTGTCAATAAGCACCATTTGCTACAGAAAAAGATGGTATCTTTTAGAAGTTAAAAAAGCTTTGTGCATGTTATGTGCATGTCCACTTGGCCAGGAAAGGGTTCTGTGGCGAAGTTGGCCAGCCTCTGGTGTGCTCTCCCATGTGGACATCCACCCAAGTGCTGATGTGCCCATCACATCATCTGCCATTATATGAATGGTCATTTGTGGCCTTCACTAGGCTGCAGGACCTTGGTATACAGGCCAGCCCATAGCTTCCCTGCTGGCACTCTTGGTTTATTTCCCAGGGAACATGTGAAGGATTTGGAAGAGAAAATGTAGTGAGGCATAAGGCCCTGTAGGTGCATATCAGGCCTGGTTGAAATCTGAATGGGTGACTTGAATATCATGAACCAACCAGAGGGCTTCAGCTATGAGGGGTATAGAAATGTATGTAAGAATAATGTAATATAACCTAAGACCACAAGTTGCATTTCCAAACAAGGAAAAGTTGGATTATTGTGTGTCTAGCATTGCTACTGCCTGAACTTAATTTGTGCCATGGCTCACTATAGCATCCATTTCCAATGCCATATCTTACGCCTGGAGCATAAGAAATGTCTTCAAATAAATGAAAATACTCCTGAAGGATCAGAATGTATTTCCTCACAACTGTAGGCATGATTGGAGGGGTAGCAGTATTGGTCCGCTGCTAGAAAAACAGCAGTAGCCTGTATCACTTTACATAGTAGCCTGTTTGTAATGGAATAAATTTTGTGGATTATAATTCCTTTCGTATGATGTAGACTCTTCTTGGCAAAAACAAAAAACAGAAACAAACAAACAAAAAACCCAACCACCTGTGCTATAACAAGTGGAGTAGGATTTAAGAAAAAAAGGACATGGCTGTTTTTCTTCACTATTGAGTACATAAAGAAATGAGGGAACCTTTCCACAGACATGAAGCCCAGTATCTTATTCCCATGTAATTCAGTGTTGTTCTCTATGCAACTAAACCAAAATGCAATCTTCATCTGAACCAGTGTTTTCACCCTGCTGCCATATTTGCAGCTTGCCATGCATTGGAGATAACTTGATGGCACCTTACAACTATACTCACGGCAATCCAGTCTTCCAGTTTCCTGCCAAAGTGGCCAATAGGGTACCTCAAGTGCAGATATGGTTTTTCTTAAGTTATGCTGAGATGCTGTAACTGCATACGCTTTAACAAATGCTATAAAATGCATAACTTTTTAAATGTGAAATTTCATTTTGCTTAGAAAGTTTGTGAAATCCTATTGCGAATGATCAGATGACATCCAGATCCTATCATATTTCTGGTATTCAAAATATTAATGTGTCAGTGAAGGCAAAGATAGAACAATCTTTTTGAAGTCTTAAACATGATTTACTTCTGCAAAGGAGGAAATACATAATATTGTATTAATTGGCTACAACCCCCCAGGTGGAACAGCTGAAATATTAACTTGACATCATCAGTATATATAAAGGATATTTTTACAAAGTTTCATCATATAGAAGCCTTGTGGTCTGCTGTGTCATGCCAGCGAGCTCAGGAGTTGGTTACATAAATGCAAGGGGTGGGGCTGTACAAACAAGACCTTTTCTGACTGACTCCTACTGAATTCTACAAAACACACAATCTGGAACACAATATCCTAAACAACAGTGCCACCACAGACAGGTGGCTGATTTATTCTGAAACTACACAATGCATTGCATGCACCCTTTTCTTGCACAGAAACAAACAGTTCATTCATTTTGTAGGGAAAAATAAACCATTGCACTTTTACAGACAACAAATTGAAGGGCAAGGTCTCTTGACACACCCCTATGCCTCTGTAATTAAAGTTATGGTGCCACTAGCATTCCTGTAATGAGCAATTTCTATTGTTACATGTTCTCCACTTCAGTGAGTGATGTAAAGTTCCAAGCTACCACATTAATGGATTTAGTTTCTCTTGGTTAAGAATGCACTTGGTTAAGAGACTTATCTATGTAATGTTTGCTTTATTTACACATTTACAAGTAGAGCATAAATGGAGACAAACAGGCACTCTTACAAATATCCATCCCAACTTTGGCTGCACCCCTAGTTTCAGCAGACTCCAGTAAGAAAGTCTCTGTTCTTGCACAGTAAGAAATAAGAAATTTCTCTGTTCTCCAGTAAGAAAACCTCTGTTTCACATGTTACCCAGATTCCCCAGCCCTGCAGGTAAATTGTTCCAGTCCAAAAGACCATTTGCCTGAGGGTAAATCCCACTGGATTTCCTTCCAAGCAGGACTGCACTCTAAACCCTTGTTGTACCTCTGATTCCCTTCTGGAGTCCCTTTTGGCTAAGCGAGAGAGCCATTCAGTTACCAGATAGCAAGTGCATAATATATTTCCTGTCAAATGGCTCCTATAAATGTAAGTTACTTAGTAAAATAATAATATTGTGATATGTGAACATAAATTGGGTTAAAAGTCTTTAGTTCTTTTTTAAACTTGGAACTTTTCTTCTCTTTCGTTTTTCTTTTTAGTAGATATTGGATTGGAATACTAGTAAACAAGAATACTAGTAAACAAGAAATGTATCTGATTTTATTTGTAACTATTTTAGTGAGGATTTTGTTTAGTATTAGAAAAATGAAAAGATCTTGAATTGTGTAGAAATGGTTAGATTGAAGTTACCACTGAAGAAGATATTGACTTTCATCAAATTTGGAGATTCTTTCCTTTAATGAAAAATGGGACTTTGTAAGAAATGGATGGACTGACGTTACCGATGAAGGAGAAAGAAGATAGTGACTTCTATCAAATTTGGAACTTCTTTTTTTATTGGCTAGAGAAACGGGACTTGGTTTAGATCTAAAAATGTTTTTAAGTTATCATAAATGGATCTGAATATGATTACAGAATGTTAAAAGATATGTAGTAAGAGGCTGATCCAGTAGTTCCCATGTATGTGATGATTGATGTTTTCAGTATTAGTTTAAAACTTTAATAAAAATTCTTTAAAAATATTGTTTTGATAAAAGTAATAATTTCCAGAGAAATAGTTTAATCTGTGGCAACAAGGTATGCAGCATCCTGGATCTGCCTTCTGCAAGAGGAAAGGTTTGACTTATGGTAGGTGCCTCTGCCTGATTTTGAAGGATCCTCCTCCCAGTCACAGTCCATGCCATTCAGCAAGGTCTCTTAACTTTCTGCATAGAAATCTGAGGCAATTGCCATGGCTGCTATGGGAAGAAGCGGGTAGGAAAGTCCACTTCTGCCAGGCTAGTAGCTCGTGCATCTGAATACTAGTTTAGGATACATTTAAATATCAACATGTTCATCATAGAATATGTTTTCATTGGCGAGGGCCCACTTCATCAGATGCATACTTTCCGTGCTTCCAGATGAATCACCAGTTGGAATTAAGATTGCTGGGAGAAATATCAACAACCTCAGATATGCAGATGATACCACTCTCATGGCAGAAAGTGAAGAGGAACTAAAGAGCCTCTTGATGCGGGTGAAGGAGGAAAGTGCAAAAGTTGGCTTGAAACTCAACATTAAGAAAACTAAGATCATGGGATCCGGTCCTCTCACTTCCTGGCAAATAGATGGAGAAGAAATGGAAGCAGTGACAGATTTTATTTTCCTGGGCTCCAAGATCACTGCAGACGGAGACTGCAGCCAAGAAATTAAAAGATGCTTGCTCCTGGGCAGGAAAGCTATGGCAAATCTAGATAGCAAAGATACTAACAAGCAGAGACAGCACCCTGCCAACAAAAGTGTGTATAGTCAAGGCTATGGTTTTCCCAGTTGCAATGTATGGCTGTGAAAGCTGGACCATAAGGAAGGCTGAGCGCCAAAGGATTGAGGCCTTTGAATTGTGGTGCTGGAGGAGACTCCTGTGAGTCCCTTGGACCGCAAGGCGATCAAACCGGTCAGTCCTAGAGGAGATCAACCCTGACTGCTCTTTAGAAGGCCAGATCCTGAAGATGAAACTCAAATACTTTGGCTACCTAATGAGAAGGAAGGACTTCCTGGAGAAGAGCCTAATGCTGGGCACAATAGATGGCAAAAGAAGGGGACGGCAGAGGATGAGGTGGCTAGATGGAGTCACTGAAGCAGTTGGTATGAGCTTTAGTGGACTCTGCGGGATGGTGGAGGACAGGAAGGCCTGGAGGAATGTTGTCCATGGGGTTGCGATAGGTCGGACACGACTTAGCGACTAACAACAACAAAATTTCAACATGTTCATCATAGAATATGTTTTCATTGGTGAGGGCCCACTTCATCAGATGCACACTTTCAGTGCTTAGGTGTCTCCTTAACTTTTCGTAGAACGCTCAAAATCCAAGAACATATTCCAAGATTAAAGGATGTTAGGGCAAGTAGAGCTGTAACTATTTTGTAGTGACGTGCCAAGCGTGTGTCCTAGGGAAAGAAAGATAAGAAAAAGCCTTTATTAAATATTATACAAACTATATTCTATTTGTGGTAACAATTTGTGGTAGCTAATTGATATAATGATCATATTTATTTAGAAGTTAAACCTGCTTTATTCCTATTATTTAGAATGGTAGTTAGCCATTTTTAATCTCATGAAATCTTACAGCAATCCTATAACATAGATAATTATTATTACCATTTAGTTATACTATTATTTATACTTGTATTTGCTACTCTTCCTAAGAGTTACGCCCACCCCTAAACA